CCCGCGGCCTCCCTCCAATGGGAGGCTTGCAGGGGCGGGGGCGGAGAAAGGGGCGGGGCGAGGCCCTTTGTTTCCAGTCTGGGCTCTCAAGAGAACCTTTTCGGGTGATCCAGTCGTTCGTGTAGTCATCAAACATGCTGAGCACACACTGTGCCGGTGAACAAGCGTGTATGGCGCTTATGTCCCAGTGTCACCTGGATGGAAATGTAACAGGTCCTAGATGGAAAGCAGGTTTCACAGGACTCACGAGAGGCAGCAGCGCACAGGGGACAAAAAGAACCCAGTTGCTCTGGGAAGTAGTGTATGCCTGCAATCGCAGCTACTCTGCAGGCTGAAGCAGGAGGGTCTCATATGTCTGGGCAACAAAACGAAGCCCAGTATCAACAACAAAAAAAAGCTAAACAAAAAAGACCCTTGGAAGAATGAAATCAGTCAAGTAATACAAATTAAAACCTCAGGGAAGGCTATGCCTGGTGACACGCATCTATAATCCCAGCACTTGGCAGGCTGAGGCAGAAACATTGGTAGTTGGAGCCCACCTTGGGCAAGTGAGGGGACTAGTGAGTGCTTGTCACAAAATAAAAACTAAAAAAGGACTGGGGATGGAGCTCAGCATGAAGGCCCAGGGTTTGGTCCCCAGTGCCAAAATATATAAATCAATCCTTACTGAGATGCCACTATATACCACACGTGGCTAAAAGTAGAAATGTAAAAGACTAAAGAAAAACCTAAGTGCAGTCAGGCATAGTGGCACACTCCTGTCACCCCAGAACTCAGGAGGCTGAGGCAGGAGGATCTCTATGCAGCCAGCCTGGGCTACATAATGTGACCCCGTGCAAAACAAACTGCAGAACAGGCATAGTCAATCAACTGGAGCAGGGCAAAAAGCAGCGCTTGTAGGGGCTGGGAATTTAGCTCAGTGGTGCTGCGCCTGCCTCACAAGTGCAAGGTCCTGAGTTCAATCCCCGGTACCACCAAAAAAAAAAAAAAAAAAAAAAAAAAGAAAGGAGCAGTGCTTGTCTCCAGAGGGGGAAGTGATGGGGAGGGTGGGTTCCACGGTATAGAAAAAACAATTGTGGTTACACAGGTGGCAATGATGTGCAAACTTGACAATCACCCTTCCTCGGTGTACATTGCATTTAAAAATGGACAACATTTTAAAAGTTCCAGAAAGAGCTGCACATGCCTAGCTGATGTAAGGCCCTGGGTCTGTCCTTCTGTCCCCAGCACCACACACACACACACAAAAAGGCGGCTTGGCAGGTTATCCTAAGACTGTATGTTTATAGAGAGCTTACCTGGTGTCATACAAGGTATGGAATGTTGTGTATTAAATCGTTATAACTACTTTCCTGTTGGAGAAAGTGACACAGAGAGGGTAAGCAATTTACCCAGCCACACAGTGATGAGACAGATGAGGACTTGAGTGCAAGGAATCTGGGTTTGATTTTTTGCTTTGTTTTCTTTTTTGAGACAGGGTCTGCTACGCAGTTCAGCCTGGCCTTGAGCTTACTGTGTAGCTCTCAGGTTGGCCTCAAACTCACAGAGATCCTCCTGCCTCAGCCTCCCAAGTGTTGGATGACAGGCATGCACTGCCATGCTGGGCTGGACTCTGGTCATAACACAACCCACAGGCATCTGGAGCCCTAGCTATTGCCTGCTACAGTTCCAACTTTTTTTCTTAATACCGAGGATAAAACACGGGGCCTTCACACTGAGCTACCACCCCAACCCCTCTTTGTTTTAATTTTGAGACAAGATCTTCCTAAATTGCCCAGCTTGGGCTCCAACTTGTGATTCTCCTGCCTCAGCCTTTCAGTGTCCAGGAATGACAGGTGAGGAAGCCCCACACCAGGCTTCCAGCTTATATAGTTGAGTACAAGTAGCAAGTTATTTGTTTATTTGTCTTTTTTATTTTTATTTTTTGGTACCAGGGTTGAACTCAGGCCTTTGTGCCTTTGAGGCAGGCGGCGGAACCACTGAGCTAAATTCCCAGCCCTTAATTATCATTATTTATTTTTTTAGACAGGGTCTCACTATGAAGTTCAGGCTGGCCTTAAACTCATTATGTAGCCCAGGTTGGCCTGCAACTCAGAGAGATCCTCCTGCCTCAGCTGTTTAGTGCTGGGATCACAGGCGTGTATCACCATGCCTGGCTGCAAATTGTATTTAGTCCCTTAGTCCCTTAGTTTGGGAAAAAGAGAGGCAGTAAGAGGAACTGAAAATCGGGGAGATGTAGCACGTGCAGACACAGCTGCTTGTAACTAAACAGAACAAAAAAACGGAAAGCCCTGTGGTTGTCTCTGAGCCGAGGTGGTGAGGTGGGAGGAGTCAAAGAGGTCTCTTTTCCTTCCTTTCTTCTTGCTTCACCCTTCCTCTCCTCTCCTTCCTGGAGATCAAACCCAGGACCTGAGGTATGCAGAAGGATCGCTGTGAGGCTGTGAGTTCGAGACCAGCCTGGGCTACACAGTGAGTTCCAGGTCAGTCTCAACTACATAGTGAGACTCTCTCAAAAAAATAAAAAAAAAAAAAGTTCAAGGGGGAAATCAGGTGCGGTGACTCATGCCTTATAATCCCAGCCCTCAGGAAGCGGAGGCAGGAGGATCACCACGAGTGTGAGTCCACCCTGGGCTATATAGCAAGACCCTGTCTCAACAAACAGGGCTGGGGATTTAGCTCAGTGGTTCCACCACCTGCCTCACAAGTGCAAGGACCCGAGTTCAATTCCTGGTACCGAAAACAAACAAACCATAATAATAGAAAGTTGGAGGGGGACAGTGTTAGGTCCTGAGCGGGGAGGAGAGATCTTGCCCGAGCCACAGGGAGGGAAGTCAGAAAAAAGCAAAAGTGGCGAGAGTTCTGCAAGAGGTCAAGTGACAAAAGAGAAAGACAGAGAGGCACTGAAACTACAGAAATGGCTCTTTGGGGCAAGGGTTTCAAGTGCTACAAGGTGGCCACGTTCCGGGAGGGCCATGACTGTGCCCAGTGCTGCCCACTGGGGAGCCATAGTGGGCGTGAGAGTGAGGGGGGAAGAGGTAACTGAGTTCTAAAGAAGCCCTCGTGCTGGGTGGGGAGAGAACAAGCATCGGCCTGGCGGCAGTGCCTAGGAGCAGGCAAGATGGGGACATTCAGGAGGAACCTGGCCAGGCCACCACCCCCAGAGACAGGGGTGGCGGCTGCTGAGGTGCGGTGGGCAGGACAGAGGCAGAACACAGAGCCTCTGTTCCCTGACCCCACGAGGAGTTTGGGCTCATGAATTTTTCAGCCAAACAACCCCTGAGTTTCAGATTCCAGGGCACTGGGCCAGGGCTTTTGGGTTCTGTTTAACCTTCAGAAAACAGCTCCGTGCCCAAGAGGGATTCTTGCAAGGTTTTGGGATGTGTGGGCTGAGGCAAGGGTCTGGCCATACCTGTGAGGCCCTGGTCACCTTTGTTTTTCTTTTTTTGAGACAGAGTCTCACTGTGGAGCCCAGGCTGGGGCAAGGGATCTAGCTCAGTGGTTCTGTCGCCTGCCTCCCAAGCACAAGGTCTGGAGTTCGATCCCTGGTACCAAAAGAAAGAAAGAAAGAAAGAAAGAGAGAGAGAGAGAGAGAGAGAGAGAGAGAGAGAGAGAGAGAAAGAAAGAAAGAAAGAAAGAAAGAAAGAAAGAAAGAAAGAAAGAAAGAAAGAAAGAAAGAAAGAAGGCTCATCAATATGTAGCCCAGGCTGGCCTTGAACTCACTGTGATCCTCCTGCCTCAGCCTCCCCAGTGCTGGGTTGACAGGCGTGCACCACCACACCCGGCACCCCTAGTCAAACTCTGAGCAGAGGACTTTCCTCCCACCTCTTGGAACCAGAGGCATTGTTTGTTTGTTTGTTTGTTTGGTATGAGGATTGAACTCAAGACCTTGAGCTTGCAAGGCTGGCAGCAGAACCACTAAGCTAAATCTCCGGCTAGAGCCAGAGGCATTGTAAAGTCTTGTGCTTGGCAGGATTCAAACACCAGGTCTGCCACTTCGGGCTAGGTGACTCTGTGCAAATCTCCTGCCCTGTCTGAGCCCAGCCTTAGTTTCCCTATCTGTCAAATGAACATAACAGCTGATCACAAAGGTGCAAGCCTGGAATCCCAGGGGCTCTGGAGGCTGAGTCAGGAGGCTCACAAGTTCAAAACCAGCCTGGGCAACTTCATGAGACCTTGTCTCAAAAGAAGATATTAAAAGGGCTGAGATTTCTCAAGACGTGATTGAGAAATTCAGCTGTTCTGCTGTGTGTGCCTTGATGTCCTGCATGGATCCCAAATGTTCCTTTTCATGGTCATTGTGACTTTGGGAAGCGCCAGAAGCCGCACAGTGCCAAGTCCAGTGATTAAGGTGGATGAGGTGGATGAGGACATCTGTTTTTACGAGCCGGAAGCAGGAGGACTTCCCAGAACTGCTCCTTTGTTTTTTTTTTTTTTTTTTTTTTTTTTTTGGTACGGGGGATCAAACTCAGGACCTTAAACTTGCAAGGCAGGCAGGCAGTGGCACCACTGAGCTAAACCCCTGGCTTCCCACCCTCCTAAGAGTAACACTTCTGCTGGGTGTGGTGTGGCGCTCACCTATGATCCCAGCACTGGGGAGGCTGAGGCAGGAGGATCACCTTGAGTTGGAGGCCAGCCTGGGCTACATGGTGAGTTCAAGGCCAGCCTGGACTACACAGTGAGACCCTGTCTCAAAAAAAAAAAAAAAAAAAAAAAAAAAAAAAAGGTCATAGTTGTATCTGGCAGTTGGGAGCCCACACCAGGCAAGAGCTCTACAACTGAGCTACACCCCCAGCCCAGACCAGGCTCTTGAACTCCAGAAGTCAAGCTCAAATTCTGGTTCATTGACCTCAATGGCTGTGTGGCCTTGAGCCAGTGGCTTGACCTCTCTGTGCGTCCATTGCTGCTCCTGTAAGATGATTTAAAGGAGCGGGGTTGGGTGGTACAGGAGCTGTTGGCCTTGGTGGAGAGAGGCGGGCGCTGCTCTGATAGTGGCTGCTTCTCTCCTCCACCTCAGGTCCCCACCGCAGGCACTGATAAAGGTCCGTGCTGGGCTGTGGAAGGGGACAGGAGGTCTGAGCACCTCGGGATCTTCCAGTGGAGGCGCTGCAGGGCCCCTTCCCCCCAGGAGAGGCCACTGTGCCTGGCCTCTGTGGAGATTCACATTTTTCCCCCCAACTTCCCTGTAGTTAACACCCTAGAAATTCAGCCAGGTGTGTCATCCCGGCACTGTGGAAGCTGAGGCAGGAGGATCCCCAGTTGGAGCCCAGCCTGTGTAACTTAGTGAGATCCTGTCTCAAAATTAAAAAGAAAGAAAGAAAGAAAGAAAGAAAGAAAGAAAGAAAGAAAGAAAGAAAGAAAGAAAGAAAGAAAGAAAGAAAGAAAGAAAGAAAGAATTTAAAAGGGCTGGGGATGTAGCTCAGGGAGAAGGCCTTGGGTTCTATTCCCAAGAACCCTCATAAATAATAAATAAATAAATAAGATAAAACACCGAACCACAACAAAAACCCTAGCAGCTGTTTTGTTCTCAGGCCTGCTCAGGGGCATCCCCTTGAATTCTCCCTGCTCATGAAGTCACAGTGGAAATTCCCAGCAAGAGACCCTGTGACACCCACTACACAGCTAAGGGCTCCGCGCAGCCCAGACAGGAAGATCACTGCTACTTCCGGTGCAACTCTCCCAGGACTCAGTTGCGCCCCTCCCAGCCTCTCTGGCGCTCAGCGATCACAGGCCTGTTCTGTTTGAGGTACTGGAGATTGAACCCAGGGCCTCTGCACTGAGCTACATCCCCGGCCCTTTTTATTTTTACTTTTATTTTGAGATGAGATCTCTCTAAATTGCAAACCCTCCTGCCTCAGCCTCTAGAGTGCTGGGATGACAAGTCATGCTGCGATCTTGCAACACAGCGGTGACTCCATCCCCTTCATCACTGACTGTGTCTCAGACGTGCACGGTTACTCTTCACTTACTGAACAAACTATTTTTGTAAAGAAACAGCTTTTCACCAGAACCTTCCAATCCCAGGAACACCCCAGGTTCGAGGCCAGGCTGAACTACACAGCGAGACCCTGTCTCAAAACACTAAAAAGTAAAGGTTAAAAGGGCTAGGGATGTAGCTCAGGGTGGAGGCTTTGGGTTACAGCCTCAGTACTGGAAAAAAAAAAGGTATTATAAGACTACTCTATTAAATATTTGTCATTTCACAAAATTTATTGGGCAACTGCTGGGTACTAAGTGGACATAGGAGAGCTGTTTTGTTTTTGTTTGTTTTTTTATTTTTTTTTGAGACAGGGTCTCACTACGTAGTTGAGACTGACCTGGAACTCACGGATGTAGCCCAGGCTGGTCTAGAATTCACAGCGATCCCCCTGCCTCAGCCTCCGAGTGCTGGGATTACAAGCAGGTACCACCACGCCCAGCACTGTTTTGTTTTTGAACTTGGTGTGATGGGGCCAGACCTCTGGCGTGCTAGGCAAGTGCTCTGTCATTAAGCTATACTCCAGCCATCACCACCACCACCACCATCACCATCATTTTGGCACCGGGGATGGAACTCAGGACTTAGTTGCGAGGCAGGCGGCGCCACCACTGAGCTAAATCCCAGCTCTTATTATTATTTTGAGACAGGATCTCAGTAAATTGGCCAGGCTGGCCTTGAACTTGCAACCCTCCTGCCTCAGGCTCCCAATTACTGAGATCAGAGCCCAGCAGCACCACCCCAGGCCCTAGTGGGCTTCTCTAGCCCCCGGGCAAAAGTCCCAGTCTTAAGCAAAAAGGCTCAGGGCTGCCTCACGACAAAACACACATCGCTGGCACTGGGTACCAAGGTGGGCTCTGCCTGTCACTACCACTGAGCTTTAATCCCAGCCCAATGTTTCAGAACGAGTGACTCCAAAAAACAGCACCAGTAATAACATTTGTTGTGGTGGCTCACACTCATCATCCCAGCACTGAGGAGGCTGAGGCAGGAGGATCACCGCGAGTTCGAGGCCAACCTGGGCCACGCAGCGAGCCCAAACTAAACCAAACCAAACAAGATGAGCGAGCGAGCCGGAGTTTCCGCGGCTCCGCTCCTGGGTCCGGGAAGGGC